GATGGAACACCCATTCCATTTGCTTTGAATATTAAAAATAAGTGAAAGTAGAACTATAGGCAAAACCTTGTTTTTGTCATTTTGGATAAAGTAAGGGACGGTTATAACCCTTGTCATATTATTTTTTTATTTTATTTTTTTTGCCATCTGTGTCCCATTGGGGGGGATATACCTTTATTTCCTGTCCCACAGCCAAAACAGGGAGTGAGAAAAAATCCCTACAAAGTAAAAGAATCCCTTGGGATGCCCCAGCTACCCAGAACCAGTGTCCCCCATTGGAAGATTTCCCCTCTATTTTCTGGGGACAACCCAAAATTTGGGATTTTCTTTTACTTTCATTTTCAATGATAATGGTAAGCCGAACAAATCGAGAGGGTGAATCTTCATTACGAGGGCCCAGACAGTAATAAAAACCCGTGTTCTAATCCATCTCCACTCTGTCCAAAACTAAACAAAAAGTTTTGCCTTGACGTTATACTTTTAAATAGCACTTTCAGTTTTTAGTGCTCAGATACAGTTACGTTCCACTTTAATAGGAGCTAAGTACAGTTTCACTGGCAGATGTGATCACATCACAGTGATCCTTTGTTTAGCAGAGGCTCAGCAAGGGATTACACCAAAGTTTTACAAATGATTATTTTGGTGTTATCTTTTATTTCTACGCCTTTTAATTGGCAGCTCAGTCTACAGTGTGCAGGGGTCTGGAATATGTAACATGCAAACCAGCAAACATTGTGTAGGGGCATAAGTATGTGACGTATTGCCCAGCAATCAGGAATATGTAACTTACAGAGTGTAGGGGTCTGGAGTATGTAATGTTCAGTGTGCAGGGCCAGAAATATATAACACAGCACAGTGTACCTAATATGGCAGTAAGGGGTATGTAATATACAGTACAGCATGTAGTATATGGTGGTCAGGATCATTTCTAGTACACAGTTCATTACATAAATCTGATTGCTACCAACTACGAATCTTAAAAGGTTTAGGGGGGAAAAATAGATTTTATTTTCCTGCTCTTCAAGTATGCTTTACTTACACTATATTGCCAAAACTATTGGGACGCCTGCCTTTACACGCACATGAACTTTAATGCCATCCCAGTCTTAGTCTGGAGGGTTCAATATTGAGTTGGCCCACCCTTTGCAGCTATAACCACTTCAACTCTTCCAGGAAGGCTGTCCACAAGGTTTAGGAGTGTGTCTATGGGAATGTTTGACGCTTCTTCCAGAAGTGCATTTGTGAGGTCAGGCACTGATGTCAGACAAGAAGGCCTGGCTCACAGTCTGTACTCTAATTCATCCCAAAGGTGTTTTATCAGGTTGAGGTCAGGACTCTGTGCAGGCCAGTCAAGTTCCTCTAGCCCAAACTTGCTCATCCATGTCTTTATGGGCCTTGCTTTGTGCACTGGTGCGCAGTTATGTTGGAACAGGAAGGGGCCATTCCCGAACTGTTCCCAAAAAGTTGGGAGCATGAAATTGTCCAAAATGTCTTGGTATGCTGACACCTTAAGAGTTCCTTTCACTGGAATTAAGGGGCCAAGCCCAAAGCCCCGAAAATTCAACCTCACACCATAATCCCCCTTCCCCCAAACTTTACACTTGGTACAATGCAGTCAGGCAAGTACTGTTCTCCTGGCAACCTCCAAACCCAGACACATCCATGAGATTTCGAGACAGAGAAGCGTGATTCATCATCACTCCAAAGAACACGTCTCCACTGTTCTAGAGTCCAGTGGTGGCGTGCCTTACACCACTGCATCCAACGCTTTGTATTGCATTTGGTGATGTAAGGCCTGGATGCAGCTGCTTGGCCATGGAAACCTATTCCATGAAGTTCTCTATGCACTTTTCTGCTAATCTGAAGGTCACGTGAAGTTTGGAGGTCTTTGGTTATTGACTCTGCAGACAGTTGGTGAGTTCTGCACACAGTGCGCTTAAGCATTCGCTGACCCCGCTCTGTCATCTTTTTGTTTAGTAGCAAGGACATTTCATGGCTGGACTTATTGCACAGGTGACAACCTTGACAACCACGCTTTAATTCACTGAGAGCGACCCATTCTTTCACAAATGTTTGTAGAAGCAGTCTGCATGCCTACGTGCTTGATTTTATATACCTGTGGCCATGGAGGTGATTGGAACACCTGAATCCAATGATTTGGAGGGGTATCCCAATACTTTTGGCAATATCGTGTAGTGCTGCTTCTCTGTTACATCTTCTGGCTGTGTGGCAGTCGGCACACCTCACCCTACACAGATGTCCAGCAATGATGACTTCAGACATGCCACCAGAAGAAATGCTGAGACTTTACAAAGGGGCAGTAGCAGGGTTAGAAACAGGAGTCACACTTTTCAAGCAATGCCTCTTTGACATGGACATTCCGATCAGGTCCACCTGCCCGTTTTTCAGGCAGATCTGATTGGAGCCTCCATGCTCCTCTATGGAGTGGCGGGTGTATAACGGACCTGCTGACATCCAATCCGACCCACAAAAAAGGTATGGATGGGGATCCAATTCCCCTTCTGTCTGTCTGATCGGGTCGGATGGAAACAGACAGGCGGTCTATTTCCATCTGACCGCCCATTGAGGAGAGTGAGCTGCTGTGTGTCCATTCTGCAGCAGCGGCGTGGACACGGACCTGTCATCCGCTTGCTCAGCGGGAATCAGCAAAGAGATCCCCTGCTTAGCAAGCAGATCCGCTAAACGGGTCTGCCCATGTGAAAGGACCCCAAGGCAGCTATTTAACACATAGAGAAGTGAAAGAACTGATCACTGACTGTAGAAAAAAATACTTCAGAGCTACAGAGACCATTATTCACACATGGAATTAGATTTTAGCTGTAGATCTCTTTGCTGCTATCCAGTGGTGTTTCCACCTGAGGGCAGTGCTGTATAGAAGCAGCAGGTAGCATTAGAAAAGTGTGTCGCCACTAGAGGGCACCACTGTATAGAAGGAATAGCAAGCAATGTTGGTGCAGTGTCCCCAATAGAGGGAATCGCTGTTTGAAGAGCAAGTGATTCCACTTGCGCAGGGTAGGCAACCTGCTGTTCTCTAGCTGTTGTGGAACTACATTTTCCATGAGGCATTGCAAAGATGACAAAACTGACAGTTTCAGCTATGACTTGCAGAGGCATGATGGAACTTGTAGTCTTGCGGCTCTCAGGTTACCTACCCCTGCACTAGGGCACTGAGGTATAGACACTGAAGCAAGTATTATATCTGTAGTGTCACCACTAGAAAGCACAGCTGTATGGAACCAGCAGCAAGTAGCATTAGTGCAGTGAGTCCGCTAGAGGGCACAGCTTTATAAATGCAGCAGAAAGTAGTATTAGCACAGTGTGTCCACTAGAGGGCACAGCTGTACAGAAGCAGCAGAAAGTAGTATTAGCGCAATGTCTCCAGTAGAGGGCATGGCTGTATTACAGCAGCAGAAAGCTGTATTAACACAGTATCTCCACTAGAGGGCATGGTTGTATAAAAATAGTATTGGTGTAGTTTGTCCACTAGAGGACACTGCTGTACAAAAGTAGCAGAAAATAGTATTCGCATAGTTTGAACACTAAAGCTTATCACTGTACAAAAGCAGCAGAAATCATCAATATTAGCCCAATTCTCACTGATGAGGTGCAGAATTTGCATTAATTTCTGTGCGATTTCCACACCGCATCATAATTGCACCCCGTTCATACAAACTGCTGTGGGTGTCAATTTTAAGTTAACACTCCAAAAACAGTTTGCAAAATGCGGAGTGATGTGCAGAATCAGAGCACATGGATGTGAACTCCCATGTGATCCAATTCTGGTGTGGACAAAAAAGGGTCCTGCACTTTTTTGGTGCAGATACGGTGCAATTTAAGCCATACAAAATGTATGGCTCAAATTGCACCGCACAGATATCTCGTGATTCGCACAGGAACTGCACCGCATTTCTGTGCAAATCACATGCAATTTCTGTGCAGTATCTCCACTAGAGGGCAGGGTTGTATAAAAGCAGCAGAAAGTAGTATTAGTGGAGTGTGCCCACTGTATAAAAGCAGCAGAAAGTAGTATTAGTGGAGTGTGTCCACTAGAGGGCACCGCTGTATATAAAAGCAGCAGAAATTAGTATTAGTGGAATGTGTCCACTAGAGGGCACCGCTGTATATAAAAGCAGCAGAAATTAGTATTAGTGGAATGTGTCCACTAGAGGGCACCGCTGTATATAAAAGCAGCAGAAATTAGTATTAGTGGAGTGTCTCCACTAGAGGGCACCGCTGTATATAAAAGCAGCAGAAATTAGTATTAGTGGAATGTGTCCACTAGAGGGCACCGCTGTATATAAAAGCAGCAGAAAGTCGTTTTAGAGCAGTGCGTCCACTAGAGGGCACGTCTGTATAAAAGCAGCAGAAAGTCGTTTTAGCGTAGTGTCTCCACTAGAGGGCACGTTTGTATAAAAGCAGCAGAAAGTAGTTTTAGAGCAGTGTGTCCACTAGAGGTCACCACTGTACAGAAGCAGCAGAAAGTAGTATTAACGTCGTGTCTCCACTAGAGGGCACCGCTGTATAGAAGCAGCCTGAAGTGTTGGCGCAGGGTATCCGCTGCACAGCAGACGCAGTCTACATCCTGGAGGAGGGGTGGGCAACTGTGGCCCTCCAGCTGTTGGTGAACTACAAGTCCCATTATGCCTCTGCCTTTGGGAGTCATACTTGTAACTGTCAGTTTTGCAATGCCTCATGGGACTTGTAGTTCTACAACAGCTGGAGGGCCACAGTTGCCCATCCCTATCCTGGAGAATACCACGGCGGGGTCTTCTCTGCAGTTCGGTTCTATAGAAGCGGTCACCCTGTGTCTATAGCATGAAGAGCGGTGCTCGGCGAGGAAGTGTACCCGGAAGGAGGCGCACACATGAGAGGCGGGCTCGGCACACAGTGGGAGGAGTCTGCGTTGTGTGACTCAGGATGCGGTTTCCTAGCACGGGACCCGGCTGATCGTTGGATGTACACCGCGTCCACACTGCACTATGAGGAGCTGGGGAAGTGACAGCGAGGAGGAGGACCGGAGCCCCCTGCTGACTGATAACGATGCGGCCCGGGGAAATATCCAGAACTATCCCCCTGATAAAGGTACCGGCCTATAGAAGACAGCTGTACCGGGCACTACGGGCGGCCATGTATACAGACATAGTGGGAGGGGGCCGACTGTCCGATCATGTGACACTACCTTCTATCTCACCTACACCTAGAGCAGAGCCTCCTGTATACACAACACACATAGGATGTCACTTCTCTGTGGCCTTGTAGATGTTTACTACTTTCACCAATTTTCACACTGACTGCACAGTGGAGAATGTAATTATATTATACATGTGATGTCCAGGGACGGACTGACAACTCGTGGCCCCCGGGCAATAGGGGATCATGGGGCCCCTGTGTCCTTGCCCAAACTCAAAAAAGCCTATGAAAAAGGTACCATGGGCATCTCATGGGGCCCCCTACTGACCTCGGGCCCTCAGGCAGTGCCCGAGTTTCCAAATGGTCAGTGCGACCCTGGTGATGTCTAATGTGTACTTCATCATACGTTCTCTGTGTATGTAATACATTATTATACAGGATTTATATAGCACCAACAGTTTGCTCAGCAATTTACAATATAACGGGAGACATTACAGTTCAATACAAGAGGGTTAGGAGGGCCTGATCCTGGGAGCTTACAATCTAAGAGTAAACATAGTGTGTGTGATCAAACAAATATATTTTTTACAGGTATTTACATAGCACCAACAACATTGACATCAGTCCCTGCTTCCAATCTGGTCCCTAGCTCACACCTATACTAGGGTGTGTATGAGTCCCTTAACCTTCCAGCATGTCTTTGAAGCATAGTACCTGTTCAGGCACTGGGAGAGCATGCAAACTCCATGCAGGCGGTGTCCTGCATTGGAGTTTGTATTAGGGATGAGTTCAGGTGTGTTCAGATCCTAGTCCAAACCCACGAGGAAGATGTCACTGTACTGGCCAATCATCTGTGCCAAGGGCATTCCCAGCCCTACAGCCACTACAATGGCCATGTAAACATGCTGGACAGGGAATGCCTCAGCCCGGGTTCACATATGTGCAGGCCAGTTTTGATAGCATGATTTGAGCCCTCTCTACTTTGTTCAGCAGTCCAGGTGCAAATCCAATGCAAATTCTTAAAGCGTATGACATTGGTAATCATACCTGACCCTTTTGGAAATCACACTGCAGCCTGCCTGCACATACAGTGGTGTTCAAAATAATAGCAGTGTGTTGAAAAAAGTGAATAAAGCTCAAAATCCTTCTAATAGTTTTTATTTCCATACACACAAATGCATTGGGAACACTACACATTCTATTCCAAATCAAAACATGAAGAAAAATATATCAAATTTTGTGTTGTTCCTCTAAAAAAAAATTGAAGAAAAGTGAATATTAGACTGTTAAAAAAATAGCTGTGTTTGTATTCTTCTTTACAAACTCAAACATTCACTATATAAACTGAAAAATGTTTGAAGATTTTGCTTTCCTTTGAATCACTTAATTAATATTTAGTTGTATAAGCACTGTTTCTGAGAACTGCTGTACATCTGTGTTGCATGGAGTCAACCAACTTCTGGCACCTGTGAACAGGTATTCCAGCCCAGGATGATTGGACTACATTCCACAGTTCTTCTCGGTTTCTTGGTTTTGCCTCAGAAACTGCATTTTTGATGTCACCCCACAAGTTTTCTATTGGATTAAGATCTGGGGATTGGGCTGGCCACTCCATAACGTCAATCTTGTTGGTCTGGAACCAAGATGTTCACGTTTACTGGTGTGTTTGGGGTCGCTGTCTTGTTGGAACACCCATTTCAAGGGCATTTCCTCTTCAGCGTAAGGCAGCATGACCTCTTCAAGTATTCTGATGTATTCAAACTGATCCATGATCCCTGGTATGTGATAAATAGGCCCCAACACCGTAGTATGAGAAACATCCCCATATCATGATGCTTGCGCAACCATGCTTCACTGTCTTCACAGTGTACTGTGGCTTGAATTCAGTGTTTGGGGGTCGTCTGACAAACTGTCTCCGGCCACTAGACCCAAAAAGAACAATCTTACTTTCATCAGTCCACAGAATGTTGCGCCATTTCTCTTTAGGCCAGTCAATGTGCTCTTTGGCAAATTGTAACCTCTTCAGCACACATCATTTTTTTTTTTTTTTTCAACAGTGGGACTTTGCGGGGGCTTCTTGCAGATAGCTTGGCTTCACATAGGCGTCTTCTAATTGTAACCAGTATTCACAGGTAACTTTACACCTTCTTTCATCTTCCTGGAGCTGATTGTTGGCTGAGTGCTTGCCATTTTGGCTATTCTTCTATCCATTTGAATGGTAGTTTTTCGCTTTCTTCCACGACTTTCAGGTTTTGGTTGCCATTTTAAAGCATTTGCGATCATTTACCTGAGCAGCCTATCATTTTTTGCACTTTTGTTTTCCCCTCTCCAATCAACTTTTTAATCAAGGTACGCTGTTCTTCTGAACAATGTCTGGAACGACCCATTTTCCTCAGAATTTCAGGGAGAAATGCACTGTAACCAGCATGTACAACATTTGCTGCCTTCCTTCCTTAAATAAGGGCAATAATTGCCACCTGTTTTTCAGAGAATGAATGAGCTCACTAATAGAACTCCACACTGCTATTATGTTGAACATGCCCCTTTCAATTAGTGATTCAATTACACAGAATCAGCAGCATGCATGTCATGACTGTTGGGTCTGTTGGATTTCTATTACTCTACTACACCTGCTAGTAAATTATTTGCCATGTAGAAATATTTCTACCAAAAACGGCGATTGATCAGGTTAGTGATTTCTGACTATTATTTTGAACACAACTGTATGTGAACTGGCTCCAGAGAATAGGCTGCAGGTTCACATGTCATGCAAATCAGACGCAGTTCAAAATGCATCCAATTCACATATATGAACAAGGGCTTAGTTGTTTATAAATCTACCAATGGCTACCCTACTTTCTCTCCTCTGATATACCCACTATCATTCTTGGAGATTTTAACATCCAAATTAATGTGAACAACCCGGCTACATCCCAACTCATCTTTTGCCTTAACACATTGGATACAGTCCTCCACTGTGATGGGAATACATTAGGCCTTGTTTTCTCTCACCTTTGCACTCTCTACAGCCCCCCAAACACCCCCTTCCCTCTCTCTGATCACAATCTCATCACCTTCACAGTGTCCTCGTCTTCAAACACTTATCCCTCCAAGCAGCAAACAATTACCTGCAGAAACCTTCACAACTTGAACCCTGCTCCTTTCCACTCTGAAACTTACCGCCTCTGACAGAACCTCTCCCCTGTCCTGCCCTGACCTGGCCACTGCTGTCTACAACAGTTCGCTTTCATCCACATTAGACTCACTTTCTCCTCTAACTACACAAAGTATCAGGCCCTGACCCTTACAACCTTGGCAGACTGACGACACCAGTAAACATAAGCGTCATAGTCGTGCGCTGGAGCAATTGTGCCGTAAAACCAAATCTCAGCAAGCATTCACCCTATATAAATCTGCTTTCTTAACATACAATTCCTCCCTCCATGCTGCCAAACAAGCCTACTTTGTCACTCTTAATAATACCTTGTCATCCAGTCCTCATCGTCTCTTCTCTACTTTTAACTCCACTTTCTCCACCTCTACCCAGTAACTCACTTACTGCTTACGAGATTGCAAATCATTTCAAAAACAAGATTGATGCAATTCGTAGGGGCATCTCCGCTAACCAGACATCCATCCCACTTAGCATACCTTATAGTAAACCTCCCTCAACACTTTCCTCTTTTGACCTTGCTACTACTGAAGAGGTCTCTAAGGTTTTTCTCAGAAGCCCATCTAACTACCTGCCCCCTGGAGCCTGTCCCCTCACAACTAATACGGTCACCCTCTTCTTCCATCCTATGCTCCTTCACTCACATCTTCAATCTTTCCCTCTCTAATGGTGCCTTCCCCTCCCCTCTAAAACATGCACACATCACTCCCATACTTAAAAAGCCCTCCCTGGACCCCACCAACCTGAACAACTTAAGACTCCTCTCCCTGCTGCCATTTACCACTAAACTCTTAGAACGCGTAGTCTACAATCGCCTGAGCTCCTACCTCACAGACAACAACCTTCTTGAACCTTTACAGTCTGGCTTTCGCTCACTACACTCCACTGAAACTGCCCAACTAAAACTCACTAATGATCTTCTAACTGCTAAAACCAATGGCCACTACTCCGTCCTCTTACTACTTGACCTCTCTGCAGCTTTGATACTGTTCACCATCCCCTCAAAAAAAAAAAAACTCCACTCTCTTGGTCTCCGAGACTCTGCTCTCTCCTGGTTCTCCTCCTACCTATCACAGCGCTCCTTCAGTTTTACCTATGAGGCTGGCCATACTCTATAAAATTTTCTGCCCAATTTCCTTTAGATTTACCTTCAACTATGTAGTGCAAGGGCCTGCCTAATTGGATACAATCTAAAGTGTGGTTTAGGTTTGACCTCCATATTTATATGGTTTTTGGTAAATCTAAAGCAAAATTGTCAAGAAGATTGTATAATGTATTGCCAGCTTTACTCTGTCTCCTCCTCTCCATTTCCTCTTTCTGTAGGGGTCCCTCAAGGTTCTGTCCTTGGACCCCTTCTCTTCTCCATCTACATCTCCTCCCATGGTCACTTGATAAACTCCCATGGCTTTAAGTACCATCTCTATGCTGATGACACAAATCTATCTTTTTACTCCACACCTCGCCCCTTCAGTCTCCTCTTGCATTACTAACCTACTAAGTGACATATCGGCATGGATGTCACTCCACTTCCTCAAACTCAATCTTTCCAAAACAGAGCTTGTACTATTCCCTCCAGCCTGTGCCCCTTCCCCTGACTTCTCCATCAAGATCAATAAAACAACCATCAGTCTCTCCCCTCATGCCACGGTACTAGGTGTAATCCTGGACTCCCATCTGTTCTTTCAGCCCCAAATCACTGTCAAAATTTTGTAGACTTCACCTCCGCGACATCTCCAAGATACGGCCGTTCTTAACCTCTGAAACCACTAAGCAACTTATT